CAACACACAGTAATGGTCCAGTGACCTGGTCTTATGCATCACATTTTCTTTTACATCAATTGGATGACCGGGTTTGTGCGCATCGCTTAACTGTATAACACCTGGCACCAGGTTGCACTATGGGAAGAAACAAGCTAACAGAGCAGGCTTGCCCAAAGCAGTTTGATGCTTTGGGCAATGTAACATCCTTGGCATGTACCATCTAAATGGACTGGTTCTTATATAGTGCTGTTCCATCCTTACCTCATTCACCCAGCCCTTTTTTCTATGCTCTAAGTGCTTTCTATTTAACATTCACACACATTCACACTCCAATGTCCAAAAGCCACCCCAGGGTCTACAATAATACCTAAGCCTTGTTGTAGACCATGTACAACCTTTCATGGAAACTGAATCCTGTGAAGGCTGTGGCCTCTTCAGCAGGCCTCAAAGCAAAAATGGTTCAGAAATGGTTTGAGTAGCACAACAATGAGTTTAAAGTGTTGACTTGGCCTCCAAATTCCCCAGATATCAATCCAATCACCCATCTGTGGGATGTGCTGGACACCTTGCAAAACTGCTGCTAACATCTTGGTGCCAGATACCACACTACACCTTGAGGGGTCAAGTGGAGTCCACAACTTGATAGGTCAGGGCTGTTTTGGCACCAACACAATATGAAGCAGGGGTCATAACGTTATGCCTGAACGGTGTACATACAAATGTATACATGTAAACAGGAATACACATACCGCTGGACTAAACCTGACCACATGCTTCTCAGTGACGCCATACCTCAGTAGTGAACCATGAAGCCAGAAATCACAAGAGGCTCACAGTATTAGTAACAGTATTACTATTAAAATGTTGTCCATTGCTGTATGTAAAAGAAGAGAAGTAGCTGTGGGAGACACAGATGGACAGTCAGCCACACAGCTGTAACAGAGCTGACAGCAACCCATGTTGGCGTGCATGTTCAGTGCCAAGTTTCTCTCAGATATTACTCAGCTTATATAAAAGAAGTGCAGGTGTGCATGAAACATCTGCCTTTACCTGCTAATGCCTGGAAATTTTCCAACGCCAGATTTTTTTTTATCTCTCTTTGTTTACATATTCATTTCATACATGTATTTATTTATAAATATTTATTTAGCCTTTTATCAGTAATAAGCGTTGGAACATCCTATATTTATACCAGCACTTATTTGTATTTTACGGACGCACAACAAGTTGCAGCACACGCACACTTCCTAAAAAAAATACCAAGTGTAATCCAATACTTGTGGATCATTTCTCTCTTCAAAGGTGAAAAATGGCATGAAGACAGAGAGGTACTGGAGCATATGGGTTTTTCAAGCTACAGGTAGCTCCCAGTAGCCTGGAGGCTAGCTTCTTTTCTGTGCAGCTGAGGGCATTTATGCAACCGGGGGAGGAAAGAGGGAGGGGATCTCTTACACTTTTGTTAAGATAAAAACAGTCCTCACTGCAGGTATTTCTAATGAAAGCGCCACCATAACCAATCTGCTCTGTGGAGATTAGCAGGAACCCCGAGCCGTGCTGGGATCCATTTCAACATGTTTTTAGAAGCCGTTTTTGTGCTGCTACACAGAATGCAACTCATGTCATTACCAGCTGATTGGATACAGCGAATAACTGCGTTAAGATCAGGGCCCGTAACCATGGTAAAGGGATTTTATACCGACAGCCGTCGCTCAGCATAAAATCACTTTAACCCCATTTTAACCTACTTTTTACTCCAAATTTCTATTTGATCTTCTATTTGAAAAAGATTCTGTGTCAGTGTAAAACTTACTGGCTTGCATGGGATAGACATGAAAGTGTTGCATCGAGGCATGACACTAGCCCTTTGATAGACCTCGTTCAATGACAAAGACCACTATCACATATGTATTAGCAGGAATGTTGGATTACAGTCACGTTTACGGCCCACAGACTTTTATCACTGATCAGTCCAGTGAACAGTTCTATTGACTGTATAAGGCCCTTACAGAGCTTACAACCCATTGCACAATACTGTACTGGAGCACGTAAACGACACAAAAAGCTGTGATAAAAGATTGAAAAAGTAAAATCACCGGGGTGCGGTGCTTTGAGAAAAAGGGTTTGCCAGAAAAGTTTACTTCTATCGAAACATATGACGAAAGGTGACGTATGTTCCTGTGCATGTTCTAACTGAACATCAGATGTGTGTACAGTGGGTGGACCAGTTTAATTTTCACCTCGCAGCAGAAAGGGGAAGGCCCCGTCAAATTAAATCGTTGACTTTCATAGCCTCTGGCTGCTGCAGTCAGACAGGGATGATCCTCGATCCCAGCCACGTCAACTCTGGCGTATTCATCAGTCAAAAGAATGTGTTATTTTTTCAGCTTTCATCTGTAAAATGAAGCAGTTTTTGGATCAGTTTGAGTCAAATATTTGGAGTTTTTATGTGTATTCTCTCTTGGATAATCATTCTCCCTCCTGTCTTGTCTCAACCTGAAACCTGGCAGGTTGTAACTGTGCAGAGAAGAGTAATACATTCCTAAAATACCATAAGGTCAGGGGACTGGAAGAGCCAATAGGTGGCCAGCTGACTGCCCTGTTTCCCCCCCTTCCCTGAAACAACAGAGAAAAAAAAAAGACCTTCTCGGGGAAAAAAATCTCTCTGAGACCTTAAATGGGTGATCCAAACAGATAGGGGGAGTGGGGAGGTGAATAGTTGGTACAAATTGGCCTCAGGTAGTTCTTGGATTATTTGGGTAAAGCCCATCCCCAACAAGAAGCAATGCTGATCTACTAATTGGATGTGCAACCCATATTCAAAATATATTGTTGAAATTCAGCTCAGCAACCATTTAGTGTAACTGGATAATAACCTGCATCTTAGAAGGTTTCAATTAAAAACAACAACAACAAACAAACTCTTTATTCCAGAAATGGGAGTGGAAGCCATTTGACTCGACTGGTATCCTGAACTCTGACTCACAAGGACAACAAAGAACAGTGTTCTTCTCTGTACATGTCATGACTGGTGCATACGTCTTGGCGTTTTTCAGATATTCACACTGCAGTTCCAGCCAGAGAAAATATGTTGCTAAAAGCTGTGGGGTTCATTGAGACAGATATGCAACCACAAAACCACACAACTTATTTTAAAATCCCTTCCTCTAAGACATTGCAGACACCAGCACACTGTTATGTCTTTACAGAGTCATGCACTCTTATCGCCTATTGACTCGGCCAACTATTGTTTTGTGAGCGCCACCATCTCCAAACCACATATCAAAGCGGATTTCACTTATGTCTCGTAAGATGAAATAGGTGACATCAACAGCATTGTGTTTTTCCCTGCAGATGTGTGCTACACTGCATGCCCACAACATGACATGCCCTGCTGTGTGATGTGAATCTTTAAGCAGAAGACGTATTTTCAGTGTGAGATTTAGGCTACAATTATATTAATATTGCAGTAACGTTAGTTTTTATGGGTTAAACAGAGCTAGCAGCATAGCTAACACTGGCCAATAACCAGCACATATGGACTTAAGCTTGGCAGTACAGGAGTATGTTATTCAGGTAATTCATGCAGACATATATTTCTTCCCCTTTCCAGTTTTATGCAGAACCATCTAGGTTTATACTTACAGCTCAGACATGAGAGTGAGTTTGGTCTTCTAATCTAATCTGTCATTGCATGACTTGCAATGAGAAATAAACCTTATATCTAACTTCACTGATGAGAGCACAGAGGAAGTGGGCTCTGATCTGAAACGTTTCTTCATGCTTTACTCTTCAAAGCAGAACGACACTGATAACAGCACATTACAAACATGCTGTGTGATCATGGAAGCGGATGGATGAAGGGGCTGCTCTAATTGACCGAGTGAAATCCTATACTGCACAGTAACACAGTTTGAGGAGCTCTCATTAGAAATGCCACGAAGACGCCTGAACATCAACAGATACAAAAGCACTTCCTATGTAAATCCTTGCAAGTGCTCCACACTGGTGTTAAGCTGGGAAGTGTTACAGGCCAGTAAAAGCTTTAATAGGAAACAACCCCAAGTTCTCTCTAGCCGATAGCGGCAACAATAGTTCCACCCAAATTCCAAATACAGAGTGAGTAGATGTGCAAATGTTTACTTTACAAATATTTAATAACTGAATATAATACAGCCACCCACATCATGACTGAAAGTTCAATCACAATGCACTGAAATGCACATCAGGATAAAAATGCTCTTATTGTACCAGGACTGGCTTCCAAACTAGAAGCATACACGTGGTTTACAAACCAGGATTTATCTGTGTTCAGAGAACTGTGAATGCTGGTTAAAAACAAGTGTGTTTGTGAGTGTTTCTACCAACAGCTGGACCAGCAGCAGAAACTATTAAAAATAAATCTCATCTATTCACTTTAAACAATGCGATTTTCAGTTTCGTTCATTATTGTTGCAATAATGAATAAAAAAAGACAAACCGAGCAAGTAAGAAAAAAAACTGACAGTGAGATAAAACAAATTTGTGTAAAAGTCATGTAATATGGTGATCGTGTAAAAAAAACCCAAAAAAACAAAAACAGTTTTGCTTTCAAAACAGGTCACATCAGGCCGGACGTGTTATGAGACACGTTTTCTACACGTTGACAGTGCACGGCAAAGATTTACAACGCCGCCGGGTACGAACTTCGTCGAATTACTTCCAAAGAGCGTAGAGCACCTGTCCTATATTCTCACTGTACTAGAACAAATGTCTGGTTTGGTCTAACTAAATCTGCAGACGTGGTCTCCAGCAAGTTGTTTCTCTCACAGGTAGTATGTAAGTGGAGCACAGAAACGCTCGACAGGTGACAATAAAGCGTCCTACTTTTGCGCAGTTAACCGTGCACAGTACGAGGTGAACAGAAAGTGCTGCTTTACCACGACTGTTTGCCTGCCGACATATTACCTCTAAATGAAAAAAGAAAAAAAAAAGAAAATATAAAGCAATTTCTGAAAAATGCATTATCCGACTATACTTACAGATACTGTCTGGAGCCCACCGTCTGCTCATGCAAAGCCACAGAGAACCCAAACAAGCTCCCCCTGGTTTTCCCCTCTTTGATCACAGGAAACCGTTCATCTATATTAAATCCAGTGCAAGTTTGCGTCCAGTGGCACACGGCCAAAACAGCGCAGAGTAAAAGTCTTTCAGACATGTTTCCGTTGTTTTCTCCCTTGTTAGGTGCACTCAGTTCTCGCAGGTCCACGATCAGCGAACGAGCATGGGGTCCGGGTGGCAACTCTGCCGCAATGAGCTCCAACAGGTAGGCTGCTGCTTCGCAGAGACCTCCCCATTAACAGCCCCTCTGTGCAAAGTCACTGCCTAGGTGTCGGCGCCTCATGTTCGCTCCGCTGCCCTGCCCCTAGCGGTGTCCCTCCCTTCCTGTCAGATCTCGACATCCTTCAGAAGCAAGTGCATTAACTACAGGGAGCTGCAGACTCTAGTGGTGTGCGATACAGCGAATTTTAATATCAATCCGAAGCCAAGTAAATACATGGACCGTTTTGTTGATACCAATACCGATACTTGTAAAGGCAACTTATACAGGGAGAAGCAGTGTGCTATGATTTATGAAACGTATCATCAATTTGGAAATCCTCTACACATTTTAATGACCGCGTGATCGGTGCGATTTTCATTTTCCACAATAATTAGTTGATACAACAAAACACACCTTTCAGCTTTTCGTCTCTTTTAATGTAATTTGAAGCTAATTTTTTTAGGAGACCTGAAATGTAGACGTGCCTATCTCTAAAGCACTTTATGTCAACTTCTGTTGTTTAAATGTGCTATAGGCTGTATAGGATTTTTTCATTGTGCACGTTTGAGGTATATTTTTTCATTTCCAAGAAAATTATTTAAATAAATCAGTGCAGTGGGGTGAATACTGAACTTGGGGAAGAGAAATAAAGTATCCTATCCTATCACACTAGTATTGATCCGATACCAGTACCAGCTTTGGTATCAATATATATTTGGACCTCTAGCAGACATTCTGTAACTGTGGTTAATGGTGTGAAAACCTCGTCTGTCACTATAACTACTTGTCACTCTTTCAAACCTCCTGTTCCTGCTCTCTATCGCTCTGCTGGCTGACAGAATCAGCAAGTCACTCTACAGAGGAAGACTTGTGAACACTAAACAAAAGCTACGAACGTAAGTAGCTTTTGATTTAAGGACTGCATCTTAAATGGCACCGTACCGAAATGTCTGCTATTTTTGTTACCACACACACACACACACACTGCTGCAGTGGCGAATGGTTTGCTTTAAAAGAAAAGGAAACAAAACTCAATATGAAAGGATTTCCGGTCGTAGCAGACAGCTAATTTGAATCAGGCATTTCACACATCAGGATTACTCTTGAATGCTCTGACTCTAAAAAAAAAAAGATATTTAACTTTTCCATATGCTTATCAACATCATGAAACCATCAGAGGAGTTTCTTCCAGCTAAATGATCTCTGTTTTAGTATTTTCAGTTTATATTTTGAGTATTTTTAATCTAAGAGTTGCATGATATACATGGCCCGCCCCTCACATGAGCACTCTTGTGACAGCCACCGTTTGCCTCACTCCACTGCCTATTGCTCAAACTTCTGGTGTCCAATGGGGAAGTTTATTAAACCCTTAATCTCCTTAGTGAGTTCATGGAACAGGCCAGAGTTTTTAAAGCAGCCTTTCCTTCTCTCAAATCTCCCTCCACCCCAGTTCCTCTCAGGTTTTTTTTGTACTTGCTTCCTTTCTTTATCAAGAAACTGCAGCTCCATCTCCTCCCTATTTTCCTGTACTCCACAGCAATGTGCTATCTTTCATCATGTCTACTTTATTGGCTGACCACTGGCTAAAACCTGGCCTAGCTGACCTTCTCTAATTGATGGAGTAAGCTCCCACTCTCCCCCTTCATCCTTTAGGAGTTGCTCTCTCCCAGAAGTACTCTCTCCTTCATCCCCAGTGAAATAATGCCCCTTGGGGGTTGTAGTTCACTGTGCACTTTTCACAGGCAAATTGCAAACACTTCATCTACTCTTTTTAAAGAAAAAAGTGTGTCTCAGGTATTTAGTGCAGGTTTTTTAGTCATTGCAACTGCTCATAGGTCTTCAACATCACTGTTTGGATATACACAAGAAAAAGTGTGTTGGAAAACAAAGAGAACAACTGCAACGAGCAGGTTAAGTTGCATTCCACAGATTTTAGTGTAGCATGAAGTCTGCCCTGGAAATTGGCCGGTCATGTGTCAGACACCCTATACTTTTCAGTTGTAGTATAGCAGCATTGGTACATTTGGGGCACTATCTTGCAAATGAATGTTCTTCTTTTACACAGGTGAGTGCACAAAATGTCTGTGTCTACAGTGTCAACATCCTGTTGTGACCTTATTAAGGCACTCATCTGGTACAGCGCTGACGTTAAACAGATACGAGCGTGCTCCAACTCAGCGGAAGACAAATGTCCTGAGAGGAACTTAAAGCGAAAAAAGAACAAGAGATGAGCAGCCTGACCTCCCCCTTTAGACTGGTCTGTGCCATACCATTCCATAGTAAAAGGGCTGCAGAACATCTGATCCTTAACCCCTTTAGCTCTTAGACCTGCCTTTTTATCACCTGAGAAGTGTCCCCTGGGAAGCTGACAGATAATGACAAACCCTGTCTCTATGTATTAGCAATGTGAAATTGCGCTGACAGCCAGCTGTAAATCACTTTTATGACTCTGTTTCTTTTCATAGAATTAATGGGAGTTTAAAAAATACAAAAACTATATCGAAATATCTAAATTAGTCACAAAACAGGAGTTCACTTTAAGACCCTACATACAGGAAGAAAAAAAAAGTTCCAACTTTTAAATATGTATTCCCCTGACCCACATGTAAGCTAACACCAGTCTCTGTGAACCATGGGGAAAAAGAGCAAAATACACTTGGTTCCCCTAGAGTCTCTGTTCTGGAACTATTAACCCACAAGACACACATGGAATGTAATTTGCAATTTATCTGCCGGCTTCCTGTTTTGTTTTTTCTCTACCAAATCAACCACCATCCCATCCCCCATCACCATAGTGCATAACCCACTCAAAAACCTAAATTCAACCCTTCCCCTAATTCAAATTACTACAATGTTTGTCTTTCTGCACCAGAACATCCACTTAATTCATCAGGTTAGGATTATATGCTTATAGCATCTTCATGCTCAGCTTTCCTGCTGCTTTGTGGTTTGTTACATACTCCAAACTGAGCTCTATGAAGGCCTCCATTGACAGAATGCTGAAGGCTGATGGGGTGGATGCTATGTGGAGTTCTGATCTGAATGCCTGATAGTGGAAATGGACTTGTGTATTGTAGAGGGCTGTGGAAAGAGGAGAAATGTGAGGGCATGATTATCCTCCATAACAGTCCCATAATAATTAATCTTCCTGACAGGACTTTGTACTGTACTCCCCTGCCTTGTAAAACCTGAAATTACACAGATTTTTTAAAAGCATAACTAGATGGCATCCGCATCTTGAATTTCTATGAATATTAATCCACATTAGCTGAACCGGAGAACAGAACATACAGAGCAGAACATTGACTAAATATGAAACACAGCACGCTCTCACACCGAGCCCTGGCTGCCCGGTGACGGCTGAGCTGCTTGTTGCCATGGAGCTGAGAGTTGCTATGAAGGCAGTATGTTCCGAGCGGCGGTAATGTCTGTCGAGGACACTGTGGTCTGTTTAAACTCCAGCAAGTACTCTTGCTGGGCTCAAATGACCTTTCGCAGGACAGAACACAATCTATTCAGGAAACCTAAGAGTATTTATGCACAAAGCACACAAATAATGTGTTCTTTATAGCAGTGTGGACACAACTTCTTCTGCACTCTTAGTGTACCTATATAAAGTGAACTTTTGTCCAACCAGCAGGAGACAAAAGACAACAAACTCCATTTTTCCCCCTGCTGTCTGGCCCCAGAGTAATCTATTTTTATAACAAAATATGAATAAAACATGAGCGTAATCTAATAATATGACATTTATTCTCATAAGCCTGAATATTGTTCCCTAGTTTTTAAAGAAAAAAGTTGCAGGCAGCACAGCACCACTGTAGGGCAGTCCATAAAGAGGTCATAGTCACATCGCCCCATTATATCTCCCAACAAATGTTCACAACAGTAAGAAACAACTGACAGTTTGGTATGAAGGCAAGAATTTTACCCATTTTATCAACTGAAATCTCATTATTAGACAGATCTTTAGCTTGAGATTGAGGAAGCAAAGGATGGAACCCCCTTAAGGGCCACCACACACATTATGATTATATATGGAACAGTTTGCCTGAGATTTCCATCTTCCTTGTTTCTGCGGTTTTGCTGAATCCTCATTTGGGAGTGGGAGTGGGAGTGTGGCGTTTGAAGTTTTCCATGCATCTGTGCCGTATACAAATGTGTTCATGGTATGTGTCTGTGTAGGTGTAAATATTTGAGAGTATATGCTCACATTTGTTCATATGAGCGTGGGGGGATTTATGTCAGGATTCACATGTCTGTGTTTGGTTTGTGTGTGTAACGGGAAGGAAATGCAGCAGGGGTTTAGGACCCACGCATGTCTGGGGTGGGGGGTGTAGGGTGGTCCTCTAGTGCTGTAGCATAGGAATGTATAGCCTGAAGAAGAAGGCGTGGCCCTGAACACTCTCCCTACTGTCCAGAAGCACCTGTTTTTCAGCTTAGCTTTCAGATAGAGAGCTGGGAAACAGTGGGATGTAATGACTGCATGACAGCTGCTTCAATTCAACAATTCACACACTCATTTCTAACTCAGTCCCCAGATACCGAACACATTTTATCTTTAAACTTCTTTAAAAACAGTAGTTTTGTATTTGGAGAGTTGACTTAGGGATTGATAGCAATTTCATATCTTTTACATTAAAACTGAAAAAAGGAAAACATAATTTTACCTGCCCAAAACCAACCAGTTATTGGTTAATTTCTCCTTTAGCCAGTTCTGTAAGCTGTAGAAAAGCCAAACTAAAAAAAAAGAAAAGAAAGAAATGAATGATTTGAGCTTTAACAGGGAGTGCCAGGTTATTTCTGAGGAGTGAACAGTAACTTCCTGGCAACCTCAAGGTGACAAAGACTCTAACAAGACAAATAAATAACATAGTACCCAGTGACCTTTAAAAGTGTCGGCACAGACGGATTTTTGTTCCCCTCAGAGAGGGGAAGCTCACTGGCTGCTTGCTATAGT